TATTATTATTATTATTATTATTATTTATGCCTACAGCACCTGGTCTTCCTAGATGGTCTCCCATCCAAGTACTAACCTGGCCCGACTTTGATTATCTTCTGAGATCAAACGAGATTGGGCTTGTTCAGGGTGGCATGGCTGTAGACCATTTCCAGAACTTTTTCATCTTCCCAAACTGAAAGTCTGTCCCCACTAAACACTAACTCCGCTCCCCCCCAGCTGTAGGCCCCCACCATCTACTTGCTGTCTCTATGGATTTGACTCTTCTATGGACCTCATATAAGTGGAATCATACAGTATTTGTCCTTTCGTGTCTGGTTTATTTCACTGAGTATAATGTCCTCAAGGTTCATGTTATAGTACATGTCAAAATCTCCTTCCTTTTTAAGGCTGAATAATTTTCCATTGTATGGACGAACCACATTGTGTTCACTCATTCATCGATGGGCACTTGGGTCATTTCCACTTTTGGCCATTGTGGATAATGCTGCTGTGAACATGAGTGTGTAAATATCTCTTGGAGTCTCTGCTTTCAATTATTTTGGATGGAATCACACCATAGTTCTATGTTTAATTTTTTGAGGACCCTCCATACTAAATTTCACAGTTCCTGCACCATTTTACATTCCCACTAACAGTACACAAGTTTTCCCATTTCTCCCCATTTTTACCAACAGTTATATTTAATATTGTGCTCCTAAGATTTTGTGAACCTGAGGTAGTTAGCTATTGCTGTGTAACAAATTACCCCCAAATCTAGCAGCTTAAAACAACAAACATTCATTATCTCACACAGTTTCTGAGGGTTGGGAATCTGAGAGTGGCTATAGTGGGTGGGCCAACAATCTCCCTCCCCCACCAGCCCCCAGCCACTACTGATTTGCTTTCTGTCACTATACATTAACTTGCATTTTCCAGAATGTTCTGCAAATGGAATCATTCAGTGACTGCTCTGTGTGTGTGTGTGACTTCTTTCGTTTAGCAGAATGTTTCTGAGATTTGTTCCTGTTTTGAGTGTCTTGGTAGTTTGTTGCTTTTTATTGCTATAGGGTATGTATGGTTTGTGTAATCCATCCTCCTGTTGATGGACCAAGTTTGAGGAATGTTCTTATATGAAGACAAAGTCCAGGTCTCAATTAAATGCAGGATGGGTTCGGTTAAGCCTTGAGGCACCCTTGTGCCATAGAAGACAGGAGGGTAGGCCTCTGAGAAGGCAGATTGACTTAGGGGGGCACTGATGGTGGATGGGCAGGCAGGTAGATTGGTAAACCAGGCAGCTGACATGCCAGAAGGGGCTCACACACGTGACCCTCAGTAGACTTGGGAAGGAAGTGAGGCCTAGCATGATGCAATATGGTGAGCAGTGCCTTGGTGGGCTGTGATGAGCACCTCTCCCAGGCTGGAGGGAGGGTTCATTGAATGGATGGGTTCTGAAGATCACTTCCACTGGTCAAAGCAGGGTATTTGGTTCTGACTCTGGCCTCTCCTTCTATTCCCTGAACCTCAAGAATGGGCACAACTCCTGAGTCAAGAAAACCCAACCCCCGCTTCTGGCCACACCTAAGTGTTTTGGGTTAGCCTCAGGCTACTAATAACCAGTGTTGTGGCTAGACCAGCACTGTGGTTCTTATTATGATTGCAAGGTACCTTATGGGACCTGGAAATTACACAGCACACCTGGAGCCACACAGTGAAGTCATGGGAGGAGGAGGAAAGGGAGAGGGAGAGCACACAAGTGGCCTGGAGTTCCGCTTTTATTGGCATAAAGGGTGGAGGCCAAGGGTTTCTTGAATTCTTTATTGGTGAATTTAAAGCACAGGAGGAAAACAAAAGTAGCTCGAACGGTCAGTTATTGAAACCAGCCAAGATCTCGAAAACAAAGGAGCCACAGTGGGGAAGGTGGCCTAGCTCTTCATCTGGTCGTGTGGCTGGCAATGTGTTTATTGGAATGGCCATCCTCGAGGCCTCTTCAGTCAAAATCTTAAGTCAGGCACTTGCATTTCAAAGAAGAAAAAACCAACCATCAGAGCCTACACTACATGGCAGCTTCCTCCTGGTGCCAAGTGCCACCCTTCCTGGTCCTGTGCCTGGAAGCCTCCTGAGTTCCAAGTGGGGATGAGCTGCCCCTGGTGCATGTGTAGGGGGGAGGGGCACACATGCATGTGATGGGGAAAGGGGTAGGGTAGAGAGAGCTGGTTCTTTGTGATGGGGTACAGGATGACGAAGTATCTGGAGAGATAAGATATGGGGCAGAAGGTACCGGGTGTGTGGTGGGGACGCAGAGGTGTGAGAGGTTGCCTGGTGTCAGTTGGCTGGTGCAGGACACCTGAGGATGGCCATCTCTCTCTTCACACTCCTGCCCGCTCCATGACAGTCCCCCATCAAGTTCCTTCACTGAGATTCCTGCACGAATTGTGAAGTCACCAAAATGACACCTCCCACTGCCACCAGCTGCACCGGGAAACCTCCGACAGGATCTTCTCTACTCCATCATGCACTGGTTTTGACACCTCCCAACCTCCCATAATCTTGGCCCCCACAAAGCCTGGCTCTGCCAGGAAGCCTTTACTGACCTGACCTCACCCCTTCACATGACCTAAGAGGATGCGGAGAAATTCGGGTCACCTCTCACCAGATTCGGTCTCTCTTTTTCCCTACTGACCTTCCTCTCTTCCTCAAATCTGGAGTCGGCCACTAGATTCCCAGAGCTGCGTTCTCCCAGTAGTCTCCACAAACACCGGGGAGGGGAGTTTCTGAGGTCTGGAAAAAACCTCTGGGTATAAGAGGGGAGAGCGCGGCCAGGGTGGTGAAGCCAGGCCAAGGACCAGGAACACAGCTGCCGGATTGGTCGATGGGGCCCAATGCGCGATGGTCCGGTCCCTTGGTTGTCACGGCCCAGCCTATCCGCGTTCAGGCGGGCCTTAGTCTCCAGGTGGTTGGGGTGGGGGACGCGGGCAGGTGTGTGTGTGTATGTGTGTGTGTGTGTGTTGGTGGGGGAGGACGGGTGACATCTAGGGATATCCCCCCCACCCCATGCTCTCGGGTTGGGCCGCGGGTACTCAGGCGCAGCCGCGGAGTAGCCGCCCCTCCTTCCAGCGCACTCCTACCCCCACCCCCACACTGGCGCGCTCCCGCCGCCTCCAGGGTCTGGATCCCGCGCGTGCGCCCGGGTGTCCCCAGCCCGCGGCAGAGGGGCGGGCCGGGCTCCCGGCGCCGAAGCCCGCAGCCCCCTCCCCTCGCCTGACAGCCGCTCGCTGCCGCCTAGGCGCTGCCACCCAGCCCCACCCCAGGCGACCCTGAGTAGAGCGGCGGGAGACCCGAGCTGGAGGTGAGCGCGGCGCCAGCAGGTGGAGCGGGCAGCCCGGACCCCAGCCCGGCTGGGGGAGGGGGATGAGCTCGGGACGAGGTTCTTTGTCTCCCCGAGCCCGAGCGCGGGCAGCCGGGACCGCTCCTCCTCCCGGCAGGTGCCGGCGTCCCTTGGGGCTGGCGAGAGGACCAGAGCGTGCGCTCCCGTCCCCCCATCCCTATCTGGAGTCTGTGTCATCCTCCTGTTACCGAGGTTGGTGGTCGGGGTCCCTAAAGAACGAGGGTTAGGGGCGTGGATCTCAGGTCCTGAAAGGGAGCGGGGCGGGGAGAAGGGGGGTGGGCTGGGACAGGCAGGCTCTGGAAGAGGGAGATAGGCGTGGGACTTGGGGACAACCACGAGCAGCTGGGCTGGTGAGTGGGTGGGTAAGTGGGAGGGAAGTGGATCGAGGCCGAGGTTTGGGCGCCTATGGGTGGAGACGCTGGGGATGGGGCAGCGAGGTGCCGGGACCCAGGTGCCCGCAAGCTGTCTAATGTTTCAGGACCTGGGATGCTGACCCGTCTGTTTCCTCATCAGGTGTAGGATGGACAAGAGGGACAAGGCCCGGGCAGGGGCCACCGCACGGGCGTCGGCTTCTCGCCCTCCCAGCCTTCCGACCCCCAGACCCCCAGGGTCTCCTCGACCCCCGCCCCCAGTAACCAGCGCGGCCCTCCGAGTTTTGGGAGCAGCGGGAGCTACGGGCCGAGGGCCCCTAGCCGGCCGAGCTGTGGGTATCCGGGCAGCCTCTCTCCCGGAATCTACTCCCAGGGTGGGACCCACGCGGAGCGCCGGGACAGGCCCCCGGGGCCCAGGTACCCCAGACTCTTTCTTTGATTCCTACACCATCTCCCTGTTCCCCTTTCCTTCTGAGGCACCAGCCTCCCCCTGATTTCCAGGGGCGCTGCATTAACTGGGCTTTCTCCCAGCAGCCTGCAGGCCCCCAGCGGCGGGGAGAGGGGAGCGGACCTCTGCCAAGACGCCAGGCCCGGGCTCTGTCTCTAGCCTGGGAGGTACCAATGGGACCACCAGGTAACACACCTCCCCCCTTCCCTTGGGAAGGGTTAGTGTCATTCTCTGGAATCTTAATTTTACACATGAATTGGAGCGTGAGAACACTTGCAGGTCACTGGGCACGAATTGGGTGAAAGCCATTCTTGGTCAGCAGAGAGCTGTATGCCCCATTTTACAGGTGGGAAAATGTGGACTTGGGAGGTCAAACAAGGAACGGGTGTCTCTGCCCTGAGCACAGCACCCACCCCTGTGCCCAGGCTAGGCCCTCTTGGGCAGAAGGGGCTCCGGCCTCCAGCTGAGGAACCTGTGAGCAGAGGAAAAACCCCAGAAGCTCCCAGAAGGAGCACCCTGAGTGCAGGGGCACGGAGAGGTACGTGACCTGGGGAGGAGTGGGGCTCCTGGGCAGTGAGAGGGACCAGCCTGGAAGTATCGATGACCCTTTGGCCTTCTGCTTTATCTCCAGACTCTTCCGGGCCCACCGCAGGCTCCCCATCCCCAGCCATCTCCCGTCGGTCCCGGGGTGCGGGCGCTGAGGTGGGGCTCCCACCGGCAGCCTCGAGTGCACGGCTCCGACCCCCGACTGACGTCCCCAGGAAATCAGTGAGCAATGCCCCGACACGCAGCACAGCAGAGCCGAGCCCCGCCGCCAGGAGGCGACCCAGCGCCAGCGGGGGCCTCCAGAGGCCAGCCTCGAGCTCCCAGGGCTCCAGCACCACCCCTTTGTCCTCCCTAGCCCGCTCTGGTGCCTCGCTGGGTGGAAGGGCTCTGGGGCATCCTTCGCAGCCCAAGTCAAAAGGGCCGCGGGCCCTGAGCCCGACTCAGGCCGCACCCCCAAGGAAGGGCACAGCCATCCTGCAGGACCGTTCTCCTTTGGCCCGATCCTCTCCGTCCGGTCCAAACGCACAACCGGCACCGCCTACCCACGTCACAGCCACTCCTTTGCGGGACACGCTCCCGCCCTCTCCACCCATTACGCCTCCTTCTCAGGCCCTAACCTGTCCTTTGGCCACGCCCTTTCCACTAGCCCCTCCTCCTCCCTCTGCTCCGCTTTCTCTGCAGACCCTCCCTTCTCCGCCGGCCACACCCCCTTTACAAGGTCCACCCACACACCTGAGTACATCTGTTCCAGAGACACCCGCCTCTCCCAGGGCCACTTTTCTGGCTCCATTCTCTCCTTCAGGTTCACCCCCTATGCAGAGTACGTCTCCCACCCAGGCTTCAACAGCTTTGCCCCCTCTTCCAACGGTCCCTTCTCCCTTGACTGCACCTCCTTTGTCGGATCCTCTGTCACCAGCCACGCCCTCTCTACAAACCTCTCTTTTTCAGGCAAAATCTCTGCGAAACTTACCCTCTTCTCTAGCCACAGCCCCTCTGCAGGACTTTTCTGCTCTGGCCACGCCTCCTCCGCGGGCCAGTCCTCCTCTATCTCCGCCCCCTTTCCAGGCCACGCTCTATACACTAGCCACGACTCCCACTCAGGACCCTCTGGTCATATCCCTTCCGGAGGCTCCTCCCTCTCCCCTGGCCACGCAACCACTGCAGACTCTATCTCCTTCAGTCACATCCCCTCTTCAGGCCACTGCCTCTCTGCTCCTACCACCTCTACAGTCCCCATCTTTTTTGGCCTCAGCCGCTCTGCAAGCCCCTCCCTCTTCCCTGGCCACGCCCCCTCCACAGACTCCAGCTCTGGCCACGCTCCCTCTACAGGCCACTCCCTCTTCTCAGACCCTGCCCCCTCTAAAGGCCCCACAGTCGGTGGCCTCGCCACCTCTGCAGACCACTCCTTCTCCAGCCAGGTCTCCTCTGCAGACTCCACCTTCTCTGGGCTCGTCCCTTCTGCAGGCCATGCCTTCTTTCCTGGCTATGGTCCCTGTACAAACCCAACCTCTGGCCTTACCCCCTCTGCAAGACCCTCCTCTCCTCGCCACGCCCCCTCTTCCGGCTCCACCTTCTTTGGCCTTGCCCTCTTGGCAGGCCTTACCCTCTCCCCTTGCCACAGCACCTCTGGAGGCCCCTTCTCCCCTAGCCATACCCGCTCCTCAGGCTCCACTTTCTCTGGCTTTGCCCCCTATTCAGTCTCTTCCCTCTCCCCCTACCTCACCCCTTCCGCAAGACTCTCCTCCCCTGGCCACGCCCACTCAAACTCCACCTTCTTTGGCCTTGCCCCCTCTGCCCGCCCCCCGCTCTCCTCTTGCCTCACCTCCTCTCCAGGCCCCACGCCGCCCCCCTACCCCAGGTCCTGATACTCCGATCCCGGGCCCACGGCTGACCCTGTCGCTGGCCCCGGCCCCTCCGCCTCCGCCCTCGCGCAGCCCGTCCAGTACGCTGAGCGGCCCGGATCTGGCGGGCCACAGCAGCAGCGCCACAAGCACGCCTGAGGAGCTGCGCGGATACGACAGCGGGCCTGAGGGCGGCGCCGCAGCTTCCCCGCCCGCCGACGCAGAGCTCGCCTCCTGCCACCCGGCCGCCTGGAGCCGAGGTCCTGCTCCGCCTCTGGCTGTCCGCGGCACCCCGGGTAAGCAGCCCTCCGGACCCGGAGGAGCTGTGGGAGAGGCGAGGTACGGGAATGGTAGATGGGCGGGGTTGGAGGCGAGGCTTCGCAGCTGGGGGATGCGGCAGCCGGGTCTAGGGGCGGAGCTGAGGGAAGGGACAGGGTCGCGGCTTCCGGCTATCTCTGTCCAGCTTGGCACCTCTCCCTGCAGGAGCGCCACTGCCTTGGCCTCCTGCTGCCGGGTCGGGCTCGGCTGACGGCCTGTGCACCATCTACGAGGCTGAAGGGCCCGAATCGGCGACCCCGGCCCCAGGCGAGCTGGATCCCGGGCCCGGGCCCGGAGCGGGTGGCGGGAAGGCGGCGGCGGGGGCGGGGGCAGCCTCGTGTG